CCCCCCCCCCCCCCCCCCCAAACATCTGGCAACTGGAATTCCTGAAGTTGCAGGCTGCACTTCAGGAGGAATCATCTTGTAGTTTTAGAGGGTTGTAAGGCTGAGCAAGCAACAGTCAAAACGTCTTTCCAGTTCATGCCGTTGTTGCTAATGACCTTCCAGGAAGCAGTGATGCCATCTGTGTCTTTACTTTGACCAGTAGACAGCTGTGAGCAAGAGATTCCAAACTTGAAGATGAAAGCCAAATCAACGATGGCCATGCAGAAGAATATCTTCAGCTGACATTGGTTAACAGCACCCACTCGTTCAGCCACTGTGAGGAGAAGATACCCACAGCAATACCCTTCTAAAGATGTGAATACTAGATACCATACCCAGGACCTTGCCCCAGGCAGCCATTCCAATGAGCAATAAGCCCACTAGTGGAAGTCTCTCTTTTCCCTAGAAGTCCCTCCCAAACATAATTTAAAAATATTTTAGTCAAAATTTATCAATCTCTTTTTATGAAACCATTTTTCATTTACCAGCCTTAAACTTTCTTTTATGATTCTAAAATTATTTACAAATGATTCTAATACTTTTGTGATTTTTCTCACATATTTCTGTCCTTAACCTAGTTGAACATATTGCTGAAAACACGAAATCTTAATCTAGTATAGCCATTAGTCCCACTACTCTACTTTTTTCTCCACTGGAAATTAGATACTAGATACTAGAACTAGAAATTAGTTAGTAGAATTTATATCTGTATGTTTTGGTTTACTATTCCTAAGATCTATTATTTCGCTAGCACCATACTGTTTTAAATGCTATACTTATCACATTTAAAAATACACATGAGTAGCCAGGCATTGGTAGTGCACACCTTTAATCCCAGCACTTCCGAGGCAGAGGCAGGCAGATGTTTATGAGTTCAAGGTTAGCCTGCTCTACAGAGCTAGTTCCAGGATGGCTGGGGCTACACAAAGAAACTGTCTTGAAAAACCAACCAATGAACCAATCAAACAAAAACCTGTGAGTGGAAATGATGGATATCAACTCCATTCAATCTTCAAATACCAGGAAAAAAGTAAGAACTTGCTGGTTGTAGTACTTCATGTTTCTCTTATCCTAGTACCTATAAGGCTGAAGCCATGAGTTTGAGACCAACTGAGTTTTCCAGGCCGGCTTAGGTTACCTACCAAGATCCTGTCTCAGAAAACTCAGTCAGCTAGCCAAACAAACAACAACAAACCTCCCAAAAATTATTTATTCATGTTAGCCTTAAAATTGGTGCTTTGTTAAACAGCCATGCTTGTTTGAAAGGTTCTGCTTCGTCTACACTTAGACATAATGGTCATTACACAATGGGAAGGATGGATGACAATAGAAAACACTCTGACTTGGGAAAGCTCCGAGGTTTGAAACCTGACCATGTCATTTGTTAGCTGTGAGCTGCTGGCATGATGATGAAGCTTTAAGAATCCTAGTTCAGCCACTGGTAAAGATAGAACAATAATAACATCATGCCTGTTTCCCAGGTCAGTGAAAAGAATTAGATGGGAAAAAAACAGCGACTATTAACAAAGGGGCTAAAAGAAAATGTCAGTTTGCCTTCAGTTCTGGTCTAGGGTTTACTGTGGTATCATTTCTATACACATCACCTCATTTGACTCATAGAAGTCTTGAGTCACCAGTGATTATATGGCTTCTGTAGTATTGAATTATATGATGATTTAATAAGATATGATGATACAATGGATATTAAATGGTGAACTTAAACAACATAGATTTTTTTTTTTACTAAACACAGTATTAAAACTTTTGCCGCATTAAGTATGAAATCATCTTCAATAATGGTTTGAGGCAGCAATATTTTTAAACTTCTGAACCTTTAGCCTCTTAGTAAATAGAAATAGGAATATGTGGTGCACAATAAATGCCTAGTCTATAAAACAATCCTCCTTGCAATATGTTTGTGTTCTAAGTTAGCCAGTATCAACAAAGGTAACAGAATTTGATTTCTATTATATTATACATGACTTTGAATTAGAAAATTAATAAGAAGTTGACTTTCTTCTTTTTGAGTCAAGGCCCAGACTAAAGCTGATATTAAACTAGTAGTTTACACTTATAATAACTTTAGAGAAAATAAATATGTAAGCCAATATAATTTACCATTGACATTAAAACTCTTCAGAGTCTTTTAGACTTAATTTGAAGCTGGGGAAGTTCCCTAGCCTCTTTTAGTCCGAGCCTCTCATGTGTCAAATAGAAGTAGCACTGGTATCCACAAAGAAAACTATTACAAGGGGAAATAATATTAGCCAAGCATTTAGCATGGCAAGTATTCACTAAATTATTGTTGTTACTCATGGGGAATGGCAATATCAGAGAACCATTTTGGAAAGAAGGATTTAAAACAATTTAAAGAATTAATAAAGTATCAAAGACTAAACTAATGACAAATGTAGTTTTAGTCTAAGCAGACAGGTGATAGTTTTTATTTGTTTGTTTGTTTTAATGCAAATATGTGTTTGAGTAGAAAGAGAATATTATTTGAAAAGTATTTGCTTGGTTTGGGGATGTAGCTCAGTGTTAGAGCACTTGCAAAGCACACCATGGTTTTGATTCCCATCATTAAAAATGTATTTACAGAGATATTACTACACAGTAGTAGTATTAAGGATAATAAAAACAAATTTAAAAACAAAATCCTATTACAAATATTCATATATTCATTGACAGATAGGACTAAATCAGAGCTCAGAGGGCAGAGGTTTGGGATGTTAAAAAGTCACAGAGTAAGATGTTATTTTGACTTACATACAAAGACTTTGTACATATATCCCTCTTTCAATGTTTTCAGAAGCTGTCATCTAAACTATTTAGGATATTGAATTTGCTAGCTATTCTTCAAGATTTTACTTCTACATTTAAGCCTCATGTGAGAAGAGAATGGAGTTGAAGTTAAGAGGACTTTCTTCTTGACTTTAAAAAAATCTCTGAAGAATTTGGCAGGAGCCACACAGTGAAGTCTGGGTTATAGTTTTTGGTGGCCAGTAGATTCATGTTCAGCTTAGAAGAGATGTACATGGAGCTATTGAAACGATCTAACTCCACAACACAAAGCATACTTCCTGTTTTTTTTTATTATGTTATCTGCTTTGTGTCTCAAAAATTAGCAAATTTCTTAGCCATGTAAATATGCAATTCTTTTCTTGGATTAGAGAGAAATACTTACTCATATGGTTTGGAGAGGCTCCCTTTCCTGGTTGTTTTCAGAGTGGGAGGCATTCCACTCTGAAGGTCAGAGAAGTCATGACACATTATGGGTAAGCTCATCTCTCGTTACTTCACAGTGAGTTCAGAAGAGAATGATGCAGACAGCAAAGTAAGCCATGGTCATGATGTTCTGTGGCAAAACATTTGGGTTTCCCTACAGGTGGAATCAGTATGCAGTGAGTCATTAGTCATCACATTTTCTGGAAGAGTCAGAAGAGAAAAAGTTTAGAGTGAAATTGAATACAGACTTATAATTCACTTCTGTCATTCACAAGGGAGGATGATGTTCTGTATTAGGCTTGTTCACCAAAAAGGCTCACAGTAGCCTGGTTCTTATGCTAAATGCCAACTAGAAAAGAATAGAAAGACAACATATGGTTTCTGAAATCTTTATTGAATATTACTTATGCTATGAATGTGTAAAGATGCTTTGTGCAAACATGTCCTTTTTATGATTAAAAAATCTGATGGAGAAGGTCATAGAGATGTGGCAGTGTGTAAGGTGGAGAGCTAAGTAGTTAAGGAAAGAGAAAGGGAGACAGGGAAATTATGAGTGCTATGAATGACTGGGTCAGGAGGAAAGGAGTAGAAATCTCCTTACCTGGGAAACTGAGTCCCACTTCACTGGTCTGCATAAAGGCAAAAAGATAATTTAACTCACCATGGATTTGATGGATGAAGATTCCCACTCAACAGATTCCTCAGGTGGAGATGGTTCAAAGAGCAGGAATCTGATCGACTGACAAGACCCTGCAAGTGCTATTGTGTGGTCATGTTTCCAAAGACATAAATGGTTTTGATACAAAAATCTACTTCTTTGAAGGCTAAAAAATTATTTGAATTGAGTGGTGACTTAATATTCAAGGCTCCCACAACAGAAATGCAGATGTATGTGGCAGGAGAAACAATTCAGGGAATATGTTAATTTGATTTTTATCTGGTTCATTGTTTTGGATCAAAACTTGTTTTCACATCTGAAGGACTAACAGGGAAAACAAGAGGCAACATAAATTTGAAATTAAGGGCTTTTATACATTTCTAATAAACATTTCTGAAGATTGTTTTCGAGGTAGGTCAGAGAGTAGGGGGCTTAGACTCAGGTACCTTCAGCCACTGCCTGTTGGAGGATAGCGGTGAGAGCTTGCATTCCAAGATGCCCTGGCTCTTCCATCTTTTCTAAGATAATATGAGTCCAGCTAATGTAACATTCTTGGGTTTCATAGTCTGGAAAGAAATGGTCAGCCTGGGAAGTATACCAAACTGTGAGGATGAAGAGGACGGAATATGGGTGTTGAGAAATATTTCCATTTCTTTGTGCTATCTAACTAGAAAGTTTGACGCCCCCCCCCCCCCGCGTCTTGCAATTATATATAGGATATCAAGGAATTCTTCATGTTCTTTACAGAGTCACTGGTAGGAGGATATAAAAATCCACTTGGGATAGAAATCGGATTAAAAAAAAAAATCAGAAGGCCTTCCCCCCTTCATATTCTTCTCTCTTCTCCTCTCCTTCTCCCTATTCTTCCCAGGAACAGCTATTTTGTTGAAGGTCCCTTGGATCTGTGCTTAGGCTCCTTCCTGCATCTTAGTCCAAGTTGCCAGGTGCATGCCTAATTAACAAGTCTACATGGCTGGCTTTGGTCTCCTACCCAGTCTTTGCTAGCACACCAGTCAGTGTGGACAGTGTTGGGTGGGGAGCTTTCTTGACTGTTTTTTTGGCTGATGGTTACTCACTGCACATAAGTTCAAAACTCCAAACTCAAAAGCCTTCCAGACACAGCATTTTAAGGATGCCCTGGAGCATCCCTGAAATTAGCAGCAAATACCTATTCTTGTGAGTAGTTAGGGAGCCACCCTTGGTCTTTGAGATATCACTCACCATTCAAAGCAGGAAGGGCTCCAGTGGATAAATTTGACCAAGTAGGATGCAGTCCCAAACTCACACAGCTCTCAGAACATCAGCCCTCAGCTTCTCACTTTTTTCTCTCTCTCTCACAGCCTTCCTCACTTCTCATCAACCAAGGGTTCAGCCTTCTCCCCTTCTCCTAATATTTCTGATCAAGGGCTCAGGCCAGAACTCTCAATAGGAATGCTTCCTTGATCTCCAGAGGCCAAACTCTCCTAATTAAAGATGGCCATTGGCCATGAAAATATCTGCAGAAATGAGCCTGTTCTGGCTCTAGGGTTTTAGTCCTTGGGCCACTGTGGGGCAGGGCTAGGTGGGCTTTAGATGGCACCCAGAAAGACCAGGTCTCTGGAGTTTATCCATCAAGAATCTCAAATTCTCTGCTGAGTTTTTCACTCTAGTGAGTGGAATCGACCTCAACTCATGTGATTTTGGGGTGTTGGACCCCAAATACCTTTGAGGTCCAGTGAGCGAGATTGGCACAACCCCTGTGAGCTGGAAGCAAGCTGGCACTTTTGAAGGCTTGCTTAATTTTCCTGTTTGTGGTTTCTTCCTTTAACAGATCTTGAAGTCATCAAAACTCCCCACATGGTGGCTCTCTTGACTAAAGTTGGGCATTGAGCGGTGAATTTTAAACAAGTAGTCTTGGAGATTTTAAAATATTTTTTCCAGATTGAACTCATTTCAGAATTCAAGTGGGAGGCAAAAGTGAGGATTTTAATGGGGTTCACCTTTGACTTGCAGAGAGGCTGAAGTCAGGAAAGTCACTGTAGGCAACAGCTTTGGGCAGGTTTGTTAAGAAAGGCGGTTCTGCTAGATTATCCTGCTTATTCACTGCAGGCTCTTTGTGTGAGGGCTGGGGAAGGTGGTCACCAAATATGTAATGCGTGTATGTAGATACTCCAGCAGACAGATATATCATAACACACAGAGAAATGAAATGTCATCTGTGTAGAAGTAGTTTGTTGAAAGTATGCAATATAAAGCTAGAAGGAAACAAAGAGGAAACAGGCAGCTTTGGATCATTGATAGCCAGGAAATAAGAAAAAAGTTTGATTCTTAAAGGAAGAATTAAATCTCAAAAAGTGAGAATAGCATTAAAAATGAGAAACACTATGCCTTTGAAAAAGTATGCAGAACTAACAGCTTATTTAAACACTAGCCCCAAATTACAGTAACAGGAAATACTCCTACTTAATTGTAATTTCCTCTAATTTTTTTGTGTGTATAAGATCCAAATTGTTAAAATGTGCACTAATGGTTATTGATGCTTCTATTTCCCTCTGAAAAGGAAGACACTCAAGATCTCTTAGTGGACCAGAAATTTATGAATCTTCTGGAACTACTCAGGGGCTCAGAAGTTTCCCAGTAGATGTGGTCTTTCCTTATTTATTTCTTCTTCTCATTTTATTTTTAGTTAAAACTATTAACTATTCCCAGGGAAAGGTTCCTGGTAGCAGCCTTCACCACGAAAACTTGTGCTAGGAATCCTGCATTCCCAGTCTGTATTTCCCTAAACAGAATTCAACTTATAAGAGAAGTGTAAGACACACATTTCTCACTCTCACAGTCTTAAAATTTCAATTCTTGCAGAAAACACGATGCCATGGTTTCAATTTTTAAAATCAGTAAGAGCCACAAAGAGTGTGAAAGTGTGCAGCAAACAAGGAAGGTAGAGATCCAAATACCAGGACTAACTAAGAAGAAACAGCTCTGCATTGACATCTAAGGCAGGGATTAAGAAGGTTCTGAGCACTGGGGCATTCATGGACACAGGATGTAAGGGGAGATAGATCTGAACAGCGGTGCGATTTAGACAATGAATTGCCACAGTAAGAGCACCACTGCCAGACCTTCAGATTTAGAGGCTGTGGTGAAAATTAAGCCAGTGGCAATTTTCAACGTTTGTAGCATCTGCGCCCAATATTGTTCAGCACCCAGAGCCTGGACAGCGCCACAAGCTCTGCTCCCGAGGCAGCCAGCCTTCCCTGTCTCATCAATCTACTCAGAGACAGACTGTCAACACAGCCAGACTCATTAGACATTTACTGAAAATCCTCTAAGACTTCCCTTTAAAATACAAAACGACTTCCACATTTAATTGCCTATCTGGAACAACATAAGCAAGAAATTAAGAGATTTAAATTAAATTTATTAATGGGAGAGCTTGGTGGTGCTTAATTCTAAAGATCAGAGTTGTCCTCCATGGGGCTTGAGTGAAAAGTAAAAAGAAGCAGAGACACAATAAAAACATGACTTCACCATCCCCTAAATTCCACGAATTCTTCACTTGTCTTTGAGAAATGGGTGAAATTGAAAACCATCAAAATAATTGGACTTCTTAAAAATTGGATTGTGTGAGTGAAAGGTGTTTATGAGAAGCTGATGACTCCGGATCTTATCATCCTGGAGGACAGCACAGAATAGTTAATATGTTCCTTGAGGGACTAGGATGCTGACGTCTTTTACTGATACCGGATCATTACGTGACTGAAAAAAAAAAAAGGAAGTCATATCATGAATAAAAATCGGAGCGCAACAGTGCAACCAAAATACTCTGTACTTGAAGGCAATTGCAGACAGATGTTGACAAAGAGGTGTCTCTTGAAACCACATTTGGATAGCTTTTTTTGTTAACTGCATATATAAATACGAGCAGAAGGCCGGTCACCTCTGTCAGCAGCAGCAGAAGCCGCATCTTCAGACGCAGCCTGAGACCTCGGAGCAGAAGGTGCCTGCCTCAGACTCTTGCAAGCTGCCGATTGTCTCCCACAGAGGCCGGCAGCCTGGGCTACCCTCTCCTTTTCCATCCTCCTTTCTTCCTTGACTTTCCCTCTTTTTCTTACCCACTAGCTTCTTTCCCCAGGCGGACTTAAGCCCACTCGGCTCCCCTCCCGTTGGCTGCTCGCCTACTCTGTCTTCTACATCTCTCTCCTCGCCCACCTCCTTCAGTGTCACGCTCCCTCCTAGTTCTGTGCGTCTACAAAGTTTTGAGCGGAATTTTAGCCTGGGCAAATAAGTGCCCCCAGCTCCTGCAGCTAATTCCCGTGGCTTCTCTCCAGACACCTGCGCCAGACAGTGAGTGATGCCTCTTGGGTTGTGATTCCAGCCCGGAAACTCGAAGGAGCCCTTTGCCCTCCGTCCTACTTGGCAGCCAACCCTCTCCTAGCCGCGGTAAGACTCTAATAGTAAATGGGGGTGGGGTGGGGGGATCTCTTACCATACCATACTAACGGATTCATTGACTACTGGCTGCCTCCCTGTGCTGCCAGCTGTATCAGAGTTAGCCTTGTTTAGTTCAAGGTCTGGCTAGTTACTGGGTGCTGAGCACACACATAGCTATTTTTTTTTTTCAAACTATATACCAAGGGAGAAGTGGCCAGACGCACCAGCGTGGCTAAGTGGCGTTCAACACAGGGAGCCGCAGCTTCGCTGGCTCCCCCAACTCCCAGGAGTTTCTTGGGGTTAGAAGGTGGAAAGCCAGGGGCGATCTCACTCACTGCGTGCCCTCTTTTCCCTCCTGCGTAGAATGACCATGTGTAGCGGAGCGAGGCTGGCCTTGCTGGTCTACGGGATAATAATGCATAGCAGCGTTTCCTGCTCACCTGCCGCCGCCGGACTCCGTTTCCCTGGGATCAGGTAGGTGCTACCCTAGGCTGATCTAGATTTCTCCCGGTCGCCTCCCTGCAGTTCTGGACGCAGGCTGCTAAGCATCCTTTCCTGAGCGTCCAGGGCATTTCTACAGCCTTTGGCTAGGTACCAGGTCCCTAGCTAAGCCTAGGGGTCAGGGAGGCTCTAGTACAGCAAAACTCCCTCCCTCCTCGCCAGTGGAACCCAGGGACCTAGGTAAAGGGAGTGAGTTTCAGACCCTTATAGAAACCTTCCCTCCTCCAACTTGTCCGAGGGAGGGGGCGGCTTGCCCCCTCTCTCCGCTTAGCTTCCTTTTTTTACCTATTCCTCGGATGAGTTGGAGAACTTCAGTTCCCCGAGCAAAGCCCGGGGCTGAGAGTGAAGCTCGCTCCACTTGGCTTTGTTATTGCCTGTTCTGGACTATTGGGGCGGGGTCTCTCGCTCCTCCGCCCTTCCTGTTGTCTCATTCGAATTCTTTTCCACCGGAACAGCTCTCTGTCAAATGAATCCTGTTTCATCTAGAGTTTGAGCCCTAGATGTCTTGGGGGTGGGGGTCTTGGCCAGTCACAGTTAAGGAAAAGCTACTTGAGAGACGGAAAACGCCAGAAGGAGACAGCGAGGGAGGGGGAAGAAGCGGATGCGAAGGAGAGAAAGCCAGCAGGCTGGAGGGGTTGGGAGGACAACCTAGCCCACTTGAGGATGCAGAAAACCTGGCTTTTGTCTTGGCATCTGTTTCTGATCGTGCGACGCTTCCCGGGTTCCCTACCGCAGCTTCAGAACCCCCCACCAGTATGCGGGACAGTGAAAATGCGTGGGTCTGCGTTACATGGGTGAGGGGTGGCACTCAGGGCAGCCAGGAGCACGCGGCGTTGAGCTGACTCTTGGGGGCCGCGCCCAAGAACCTCTTTCTTAGGGGGCATCTGCCCATTGATGTATTGACAGACAGAAATCCTAGCCTCTTTATCAGGATTCCGGCATGTGGGAGCCGGGAAGAGCAGGGGGTGGCCAGAAAGATCCTGGTTCGGGGTCTGGGGCCTGGGCTGGGGGCACACTAGGAAGGAAAGCCTGGATGTGGGCGGTGCGGAGGATCTCCCCTGACTCTGGTCTCTCCAGGGAGAGCGTAAAGGCAACAGAGCGGCTCAAGTACAACTGGACCCTGCCTGGAGAATGTTAATTGTTCTTATTGCATCCCGCGTATCCCTAAGGGCCAAAAGCCACCTGGCTTTGCATTTTTTTGTCCTCCTCTGCCTGTCCTCTGTCGGGCATGGAGGCGATAGGTAAGGAGACTTTGAGATCGCTGGACACCTACGGAATGTCAGTTCCCAGTGGACCCCTCTCCTTGCGCTCTGTGGTTGAGATGGAAGCCTCCCCGCCATTGCTAACAGAGTAGCAGGAACTCTTTGTTTAATGGGCTCGAAAGCCCTCTTTTTTCACCTCAGGCTATTCTCAAAGTTCCGTGTGCCTAGCACTTTTCCTGGGTGATAGGCACCGGAGCGCTCCGCCGCACCACAGAATGAGCCAAACTAGCTAACTTTAGGGGCATCTATTATTCATGTTCCTAGCAGATTCTCTCCAGCCCAAAATAGAAGCTGGAGGTTCTCTGTGACCTACATCTGCGCGGGGAAGGGCTCCCCTGGGCTGGGCGGCTTGGATGGGGGTGGCTGGTGCCGGAGTTGGCCTCCTGCATTGTACCTACCCATCCATTCCGCTCTGGGTGTCCCCGTCTCGGCTCCTACCATCTCTTAGGATCTTCCTCTGTGCGATCTAAATGCTACTCAGGGAAGCCTGGGACGCCAGGTGGGGAGAGGGCCGGCCTTTCATTTGGCCAGGTATTAGGGTTTGCATGGTTGTTCAGTCCTCTTGCGGGAGATCATTGATCCGCCGCCGGAGGAGACGTTAGCGAATTTCCTAGCGGAGCAGGAACTGCTGCTGGGTGTAGTTCCCTTTACCTCGTCCTACTAGGAGCGTTCTGGAAGAAATCACAATTCTCCATGGGGGGCCATAACGAAGAAGGAAAATCAATGGGACCTTCTTGGGACTTGGCAGACTTTTAATGACCCTCCTTCTGACTATCCCGCAGACCAGAAGAGGAGGCTTACGACCGGGATGGAAACCCGCTTCAGGACTTCTACGACTGGGACCCTCCGGGCGTAGCGAGCCCCGCCTCCGCGCTGCGTGACGCCTACGCCCTCTACTATCCAGCCGACAGGAGGTACAACCCGCCCGGGTTCCGCCTACCGCTTGGGCCTGACATGGCGGGAGGGACCCGGCAGCGGCTCTCTAACTAGGACCCTCCCCTATGAAAGTCCTCAAGCCTCCCTTCTACCTGGGTGACTCCATGAAAGCCACAGAAAATTAGCAGACAGATCCCCGTGAACCTGAGGCCGCACCAGGGACTGAAAGCTCTGCGGCCCGGGAAGTGTCCGTGAGTGTGCAATTCCGTGGGTGGGGAGCTCTCAGGCCAGCGAGGTCACCCCAGAGGCCAGGACTAAATCCCCATTTTAGATTTACCTCCAGGAACTCCCCAAAGTTAACTCCCAGGTCCCGTGTCACTCGTGGTGGTTGCCGGGTCAACCTCCTTGAAAACTCAGCAAATGGGGGCCTTGGCTGTCACTTGAAGGGCCCAGGCAGTGAGTGACCCAGGTCGCATACTTTGTCTCCCCATTAGAGATGTCGCCCATGAAATCCTTAACGAAGCCTACCGCAAAGTCTTGGACCAGCTGTCCGCCAGGAAGTACCTGCAGTCGGTCGTGGCCAGGGGCGTGGGGTAAGAGTTTGTGACAGTGTTAACCCGCCAGTGATGAGCGCGCCAGGGTGGGTGACCATACTGAGAGCGCGCAGGGAGGGCGGGGCAGCTTATACGTTTTTGCGCGCCAGCACGCCTGTGCGCCCG